AGCAGGAACAAACGAAACTGGATCATAGAGCATTTAGAATTTAAGCATCTGAGACTTCACAATGGACAAATTTAAGTGAGAGAATTCTCTATGTCATCCATCTTTATGTCTTACTAAAATTTTAAAAGCCTCAGCTTACAACTTCAAGTAGTTATTACTAGAATAACTACTTTATGTAGTTCAGTGTAGGCTATTCACAGTAGTTATCAGTAGAATCACTATTTACGATATCCACGCAGTATCTTGGCTCCTTATGGGACAGTTGTTATTTTGACCTTATTCTCACAGAGAAAAGAAACCATTAAAGCATCTGAGAGTCACAAGATTCACGTCTTTTGCCAAGAAAAGGGGGGGAAGAATACAGAATCACTTTCTGTTCTGCCACACGTGTCTGGTCTCCAGGAAAGGGAAAGCAATTACAGCAAGACTATAGAAAGACTAAAGGAAGACTTCTCAGAAAGAAAATAAACCAACTCTGCCTCCCTCTTGCATTTTCAGAGATAGTGTTGAAATTTCCATGTCATGAAAAAGATCTGCAGCAAGAAAATCCAGACACGTGCACAGCAAGATACAGGCAGATCCATACTTCCAGCTAGATGCAAGCTAGCTGAGGTTCACAACCCCTGTTAGTGCATTGCCACGGCACTCTGCCCAGCTTAATGGGCACTTAGTCAAGGAATTATTTTACTCTGCCCATTTACTCTGGGCAGAGTAAAATAATTCCTTGACTAAGTGTAATTGTTTGGGTCCACTGCTACACTAATGGCTCAACAACTTCTTGAGGCCAGCTGGCTCACAACTAGCCAGAAGAACCCTTGTTTATTTGCAGTCCTCCCATGTACATCTCAGGTGAACTGCCAAGAAGCTCAACCATTTAGTAGCAGCTGCATTCCAAAAAGGAGGGAAAGAAATCAAATTATCAGCTGCCAGCAACACCCGGTGCTTAAAGACAGTCTAAGAAATTCTAATCTGTATTCTGAAAAGTCACAGCAACTTACCATGATAGCTCCATTATCCTGGCCTACAAATATTCGCCTGCTATCATGATGGTAAGCCATGGCTGAACATGGAGCTGTCAGAAAAAGGCAAACACATTAGTTATTAAAATAAAGGTATTAGGATACACATGACTTACTAAAACCAATTCTTGCACTCAGGACAAAACCTGTTTCAGATTAAGTAGCTTGACAGAAGCCAATCTGCACAGATAATGTCATTCATAAGACAGTTAAATTCCCACATGTGAAGCTGAGGAACAGCATACCACTACAATAACTCAGATTCACTGCTAGGAACCATATGCAAACGTGATTTCCTGCCACGAGGTCCACCTCAGTAAAGGGAATTTTACACAGGCTGGAAGTCTAGCTAGCAACACCAGCATGCGCAGTCAGCTACACTTAAGAACTTGAGCTCACTAAAATTATCTCAGATGGAGCCCCAAGTTGTATACAGTACCAGTATTCCATTCTTCACATTTAAGGACTGTATCATTACAGACAGTAAAGTGCTAGACAGAAATATCTAATTGTATGTTAACTTTATATGGGGTCATGTCTCAACATCTGCAACTTTAAGGAGACTCGTGTTTTTGAGATTACATACAATCTCCTTCAGCAGAAAGCCTCTAAAGACCTACTTACCTTTTTGAAATTAAGAGCTAAAATAGATATGAAAAGCAATGACAACAAAATTACAAGTGTCCTAATAAAAATTTTGAAAGAAACTTTCACTGAAAAATGTCGTTAAGCTTGCAAATTACAAGAATGAGAAGGATACAGTGCTCTAAACTAATGCCTTCTCCAAGAGCCTCAGAAAATGCAGCCTTGAAGGCGATGTGGAGATTTAAAGACAGACAGGGCAGTCTGAAATATTACAGTACAATCATTGCGTAAGGACAAGCACATCCCTTTGAGCTACCCACAGGCACACTTTATTTTGTATAAACCTTTTTAGAGTACAATCTGAACATCTGTTTAGAAAACTGATAAATGGAGCAACTGCTGTAATTTAAACCAACTACTATGGAAAAAAAGAAGATCACAGTTGGCATTTCTAATGTAAATCCTAGGCTACTCAGCCTACACCTGAAGAAAAAACACAGAACAGCAAGAGGTCCAATTCTTTGGTCTTCATTTAACATTTGTATACAAATTACTGCTGAAATTGTCGTTCCAAAGACTATTCTTTGTGTGATGCTTAGCCACTGTACTCCCTTCTTTATATGTGGTATGTGTCTGGGCAGCAACTCTACACTAAAGAAGTTACAGCAAAGCACTGAGACTGAGCGATGCTTCAAGAATCAAAAAAGCACACGGACACTCAAGATCTACTCAGCACTGAAGCTGCTGTTCAGTATTGCTTTCTTAATCTGAATGCTTAAAAAAATGCACACCCTGGAAAGCAGAGAATATTCTTACGTCGGAACTTTCAGCTAAGCTCACTTACTCAGCAGATGAACAATTTGCCAGCATTTCAGACATCTTTAGCTGCAGATCTGCACAGTTATTTACCTGGTGAAGGATCTGGTTCTGAAAGAATGCTGCCTTAGATCTCACCCGCTACACAGCGAGTTTCAAATTAAAGTCTCAGCTAGAGTAGCTGCAAAGGTCCCACATTTCAGCTCATTGAGAGGAAATGGGAAGGAGGCATTCTCACACAAAGCACAGGTACAAAGCCCACGCTATGCTCGGTCACCACGTACCATCTCCGGTATTGTACTTACACGACATGGTGTGATAGATGCTGGGCCAGTATTGTCCACTGTCTCTCTTCAGCCATACTCGTATTGTTCTGTGTCATGTGAAAAGTGGGGAGAAGACAGCTTTAAGTGCATCGTCCTTTGCATCTGAATCAGTTCATTACTTAAGTATCGGCTCCAATGCTCCTGGGTTTTGTGCTACTCAAACATAATAGAGGAGCAACGTAATAGAAATAATAGTACTCCAACAGTACTAAGAATGATACCACTAAAAACAGCCACCCTTGGGTTCTGAGGGGTTTTCTTCAAAACTGTTTATACACTGAGTTTCAGTAAGTATGAAATGGAAATACTCTTTCAGGTCACCTCAGAAACTGTTACACATTACATCCCTTTCATTCCTTCTCCTTGGTCCTGCTAGATTTAAGTCTAATTAAAGTTGCAGGAACTTTCCAGCTTTGGTAGAGCAAATCACAGCTTGTTTTATAGCAGATTAAGTGTTTCATATGTAAAAAAAAATAAATTTAAAAAAATCACAAATAATTCTATTCTAGAAGTCAAAACTTTTGAATTTTTACATCTTCTCTGTGCAATTCATCCTTCAGCAAGCCAGACACTGAATACTAGGCAACAGAAGCACGTTATCCTCCAGACCAGCATATTACTGACATCTCCATTCCCAAATATTGATGTACTGATCCATAGAGGACATGATATCTAGTTTAGTATTATTCCTCTAAGCCATGCCTCTACCCCCTCATGTACAAACACAACGGACAAGTAACATTAGTACCACTGCTCCTCTGGCCTAGAAATGAACATGATTAATTAGCCAGCCAAGTGGGAATGGAAAAAAGCTGACAAGACGACCTGGACAGCGTGCTAAAGCTCTTTATAAAATTGATTTTAGTTTATAACCTTCCAGAATCAGGCCTGGGAAGGAAAACAAAAACAGTCTTGAGAACATTTAGCACTGAACCGGTCTAATGACTGTCACATCCTGGGAGAAGGTATATAAGGGAATCAGTAAGGAAGTGGAAAGTTATTGCCAATTAAAAACATTCCCATAATAGGCACATTTGATGGGAATCTACATCAAGAAGTTAAAAGCACACATGCAGTGTTAAGGTTATTTTAAGTCTACTTGAAATTTCCTCTCCAAACCATTGTTTGCTTTCTTGTTACTGTTTAAATCCAGCTTCCTCATTCCTAAACGGAAACCTAAATGATCTGTAAATACATGTACCTCAAAACACTGTCAGACTTCACTGAGATAATACTATTTATTATTTACTTTTAGCTAAAAAAAAAAAAGCCTTATATTTAGAATTTTTAGGGGAAAAAAACCCAACAAAAACAAAGGCAGAGATTTGCTAAACATCACACAGGATTGCCAGCAAGAGTTTAACAGAAAGCACAGGAAGGGACTGCTATCATCCATCAGGTCTAGAACTTTTCAGGTTGAAGATACAAAGGTAGCATTCTTATTTTGCAATACATTTAAGGGCTTTTCTTTAAAAGACCACTTAAAAATAGAGCAGAAGATGCACACCCTTAATGTAGTACTTTCCTTTTCTAAAACTTGAACTTAATGAAGCTGAGTACATACGACCTCAAAACAATGATTTCCAGCCAACCAGTTCAGTGGCAAACGCACATTACTCCAATCCATGAAATATTTTCCATTATGACTGTCACTTAAAAGCTATCGCTTCCTCTTCACAATTACCCGCACTTTCTGCCTCATGATCAGAAAGTTAACACTTCAGAAGAGCAGTTATTTCTTAGTAACATAAGAAAATGAAATAAACAGTGCTTCCAAGGCATTCTTGTGACACAAACACATGGGTTAGCACCTATGCGTTTTAACAGCTTTTTAATCTGCTTTGCAAAGCGGCTCCATTACAGTCAAACTGTTCTGAACACCTCAGATGGTAGCTTTCCCCCTTGCTACTTCAACGCTTTTACTTTTAGCCAAAATAATGTAATTATTTTTGGTATTAAAAGTTGTACTGATTAAGATGATGCATTGCTGATTTCCCCAAAGTAGCCTTTGTTCCCTCCCATTATTCTGGTCGATTACACTAAACTAGGAATTTAGATAAAGGAAGCAAGGATTTGCTTGTTATAAGGAAATAACATGCTGATGTATGACTTGTGCACTGATCAACAGTACAGTCCCTCACTAAAGTTGAGAGCTTAAACAAATAGCCGCAAGAGTTGGTAAAATTAACTTCTGAAAGCTTCTTATTCTTGTTTAAGTAAGATTTAGACTCCGCCAGCCTCATGCCTGCAAAGGTAAGCTTTACACAAAGCTCCGACTGACCAAAACTTGAAGAAACTGTTTCACAGTAAGCACAAAATAATTTGCGCCAAAATCCCACCTTTCCTCCTTCATTCTCTCAATTACAGACCTGTAGTTGTGGTGCATCTCCTTTTGTTAGGACAAATTAGTTTGGGAAATACCACATCTAGCCTAAAGGACTAGAGAATTCCTTCAGCAATGCCACTTCCACAGTCTCCTTCGGCCCTGAAACTCCCTTATTTTAATAACCGTTATATTTGACCTCATTAATGTTTATAAATATTTAAAGGGTGAGTGTCACAAGGATGGAGCCAGGCTCTTCTCGGTGACAAACAATGATAGGACAAGGGGTAACGGACACAAACTGGAACACAGGAGGTTCCACTTCAATTGGAGAAGAAACTTCTTCTCAGTGAGGGTGACAGAGCCCTGGCCCAGGCTGCCCAGAGAGGTTGTGGAGTCTCCTTCTCTGCAGACATTCAAAACCCGCCTGGACGCCTTCCTGTGTTACCTCATCTGGGTGTTCCTGCTCCGGCAGGGGGATTGGACTGGATGAGCTTTTGAGGTCCCTTCCAATCCCTAACGGTCTGGGATTCTGTGATATCAACCCTAGAGGCTTTAGCACTCTTCTCAAAACCTGCTCTTTATTTAATGAAAAGGCCTGTGCTCAGCACCCAAGAAGAGCTGGCTAACACTCACCTTCCCTTAAGCATTCTCTATTAAGGGCCTAGAAAGACACAGGTTGGTTTGACAGCAGTCTCCGTAAGGATGTAAAAACTTTGAAACTCACGAAGCAGCAACCAGAGACAGATACATACTTTTAAAATTACAGTAGACTCAGATACCTGAAAACAGCAGGAAGAAGCAAACAAGATTAAAAAAGACCTGCAAACTTCCCTCACATTGAGTATTGAGCCAGAAGTTGCTTTCAGCTGGAAAGCACGCACATTTACAGGAAAGTAATTCAAAGGGGTTTTGTTTGGTTGGGCTGTTGGTTGTTTTTTTACATAATGTAAAGAAACACAGACAAAAGGAATTTTTCAGCAATACTGAGTGTGGCCTTAACAATTTCTAAGGTTTTTTTTCTTGTCCTCAATAAGCATCCAACAGTGCTAGAGAAAAAGGACTGGGTTGGAGAGGAGTGAAAATCCTTCCAGTGTCCACATAAAGGCCAAATGCAACGGCATCAGGGGAAAAGCAGCAATGAAAGCAATGAAAGATTAGCTGGCAAACCCCAAGTAGTCACAATATAAGCACTGCTGCAAGTGCTGCACAGCTACACGAAGCCCTGGGTCCAAGCACTGGATCTTCCTAGCACCTTCAAACCACTAACAATTGCTTTATAACAGCAATCTGAAAGCAATCGCTAACAACTGCTTTCCTAGCAAAAGCAGAAAAATTCATTTTTCTGGTAGTCAAAATAAACCAGAAGTAATTAGATTGCTATGGACCATGTTCCCAAAACAGCATTAGGAATCTGGCTTAACCACACTGCAATGCAAGCTCAAGGACACAGCTTGCAGTTTATGCTTTCTATTGAATTCCCGCTCACTAAAACATTGGTTTTGACAAATATTTAAGTTCCATAACCAAAAAAAGGGCCCAACACCACAACTTAAGCAGCAGTTCCAATGCAACAGCAGCTGCTGATGACTACAGAACACCAGCATTCAGATGTGCTAATGACTCTAGAAATCACGTGGTAAATATAAAACCTTTGTCTTGCACTTAGGGTCCTGTACACTGGCTTCCCATCCCTCAGCATCCCCAGCTACAGCTGGGAAACACTCATCTTGCCTTAGCTATTTGTCTGCTGAGAACAAAGATAAGTTGAGTTCAGAGCTTTGACCGTACCACAGATCTGTGCAGCCCACACTGGCTTATCTCAGGCTCCAAAAACACAGGAGCTGGCCTGGAGCAGAGGATCTCACCCACAGCTGGTCCTGGAGCTGGCTGCCCATGCCGGGGGACACACGGCAACAACTCCAAGCTTGTCTGGGAGCCAGGGTCAGGCAAGATGCCCACAGGGACACAGAGTTAATCAACCTTTCTGGGTAAGTTCTAAGAAAGCTTC